CCCTCCCCCACCTTCCCACCCTTATGAATCCTTGATCAATTATATATTATTATTGTTATTTCGTGTCTTACATTGCCCGTTGTCTCCCTTCACCCACATTTCTGTTGTTCATCTCCCTCAGGGGTGGGGGGCAATATATCCAACCTTATGATGGGCTCGGCTCCCCTTCACCTCTCCTGCCCCTACCATTCCCCTACCTTCATGATACCGCTAGTCCCACTACTATTCCTGAGGGTTTTATCTGTCCTGAATTCCATATGTCTGGAGCTCTTTTCTATACCAATATGTGTACTCTGGACTAGCTGGATTTGTAAGGTAGAACTAGGTCACGGTAGGGGTGGGGGTGTGTGGAAGCATTCAGGAACCAGAGGAATGATGTGTGTTTCATCGGTGCTATACTGCACATATATGTACATATATGTATATGTTAACTATTAAGATATACATTTAATCTTAAGCCTTAAGATTAAATGTACATATATTTATATGTTAAGTATAAAGATAGCAGACAGACTTTGGGCCTCTACTCAAGGCCTCCCTAAACATAAGAACACTTTGTTCTAAAACCTGGCTTGATACTCACCTTTCCGACATGATCACTGAAGACAAAATGGGTGCATAAGCAAATGTGGTGAAGAAAGTGAAGAGTGCACAGCTATCAAAAGATATATCATCTGTGGTCTTAAAGGTTTGAAGTTAAACAAGCAGTCATCTAGCAGGGCACCAAATAAGCCCACATGGAAGAAGCACACCAGCCTGTGTGATCATGAGGTGTCTGCGGGTTCAGTTATCAATTATCAGAAGATCCAAAACAAACAATCACATCCATGCAAAAGAAGGGGTTTGGAGAAGAGACCCAAAGCCCATCTGTAGACAGCTGGACAGCCCACACAGAAGGGTTACAAGGAAGGGATGCTATCGCATTCTTTAGGACCTAATAGGAAACACAATCTTTAGTGTTGACTTATTGTTTTTCTCTTCTTTTAAATTAAATTGAATCGCATTATGAAATGAATGTGGGTCTACAATCCTCTGTTACTCTAGTATCAAGGAAGCTCTGAAAATCAAGTCTTGTTCTAACTTGTTTGGTGGCTAGCCCTGACCTCAGACCTGAGCTAACATGAGGTTACCTGTAGTCTTCATTTACCTCACATAAGGGATTTCCACATATTTCAGTGTAGACATACTAATCATGTGACTACAGATAGCTGCCTCAGGTTCTGCTGGAGGTGTTACAAAGCGGTATGTGTACATACTACACCTAATCTTCTGAAAAAATTTTAATTCTAAAGCTGTGCTAGTCTGGGTAGACTAAAGAAACAAATTCATAAGCACTCATAAGTATTTAAGAAAGAGGTTTATATACAAGAGCAGTTGAATATTGAGAAAACAT